ACATCAATAACATGTATATCAAATATACCTATGTTCACTTTGCCATCCTTCTTATCCGCCAAATACTTGGGGTAGTTCCGCTTCCAGTGACCAGTTCCTTTGCAGTAGAAGCACTTAGTCTCAGGCTCAGGACCAGACTTGGGCTTCTTCACTTGAGCAGCAACTTGCTTGCCGTTCTTCTTGAAGTTCCCCTTCTTCCCTTTGCCCTTTTTCTTGAAACTAGTGGTTTCGTCAACCATCAACACTTGATATTTTTCTTGATTTCTACCTTCGTCGATTTCAGCATCACGAAAAGCTTGGGAATCGTTTCTGTTATCCCTTGCAAATTATAGTTCATCACGAAGTTCTACTAACTTGGTGATGGTGACTAGAGAATTCTATCAATCACTATCTTATCTGGAAGATTAACTCCCACTTGATTCAAGCGATTGTAGTACCCAGACAATCTGAGCACATGCTCACTAGTTGAGCGATTCTCCTCCATCTTTTAGCTATAGAACTTGTTGGAGACTTCATATCTCTCAACTCGGGTATTTGCTTGAAATATTAACTTCAACTCCTGGAACATCTCATATGGTCCATGACGTTCAAAATGTCTTTGAAGTCCCGATTCTAAGCCGTTAAGCATGGTGCACTAAACTATCAAGTAGTCATCATATTGAGCTAGTCAAACATTGATAACGTCTGCATCTGCTCCTGCAATAGGTCTGTCACCTAGCGGTGCATCAAGGACATAATTCTTCTGTGCAGCAATGAGGATAAACCTCAGATCACGGATCCAATCCGCATCATTGCTACTAACATCTTTCAACACAATTTTCTCTAGGAACATATCAAAATAAACACAGGGAAACAACAACGCGAGCTATTGATCTACAACATAATTTGCAAAATACTACCAGGACTAAGTTCATGATAAATTTAAGTTCAGTTAATCATATTACTTAAGAACTCCCACTTAGATAGACATCCCTCTAATCATCTAAGTGATCACGTGATCCAAATCAACTAAACCATAACCGATCATCACGTGAAATGGAGTAGTTTTCAATGGTGAACATTGCTATGTTGATCATATCTACTATATGATTCACGCTCGACCTTTCGGTCTCAGTGTTCCGAGGCCATATCTGCATATGCTAGGCTCGTCAAGTTTAACCAGAGTATTCTGCGTGTGCAAAACTGGCTTGCACCCGTTGTAGATGGACGTAGAGCTTATCACACCCAATCATCACGTGGTGTCTGGGCACGACGAACTTTGGCAACGGTGCATACTCAGGGAGAACACTTTTTATCTTGAAATTTAGTGAGAGATCATCTTATAATGCTACCGTCAATCAAAGCAAGATAAGATGCATAAAAGATAAACATCACATGCAATCAATATAAGTGATATGATATGGCCATTATCATCTTGTGCTTGTGATCTCCATCTCCGAAGCACCGTCATGATCACCATCGTCACCGGCGCGACACCTTGATCTCCATCGTAGCATCGTTGTCGTCTCGCCAATCTTATGCTTCTACGACTATCGCTACCGCTTAGTGATAAAGTAAAGCATTACAGGGCGATTGCATTGCATACAATAAAGCGACAACCATATGGCTCCTGCCAGTTGCCGATAACTTGGTTACAAAACATGATCATCTCATACAATAAAATTTAGCATCATGCCTTGACCATATCACATCACAACATGCCCTACAAAAACAAGTTATACGCCCTCTACTTTGTTTGTTGCAAGTTTTACGTGGCTGCTACGGGATTAAGCAAGAACCAATCTTACCTACGCATCAAAACCACAACGATAGTTTGTCAAGTTGGTGTTGTTTTAACCTTCGCAAGGACTGGGCGTAGCCACACTCAGTTCAACTAAAGTTAGAGAAACTGACACCCGTCAGCCACCTGTGTGCAAAGCACGGCGGTAGAACCAGTCTCGCGTAAGCGTACGCGTAATGTCGGTCTGGGCCGCTTCATCCAACAATACTGCCGAACCAAAGTATGACATGCTGGTAAGCAGTATGACTTATATCGCCCACAACTCACTTGTGTTCTACTCGTGCATATAACATCAAACCACAAAACCTAGGCTCTGATCCCACTGTTGGGGAACGTAGTAATTTTAAAAAAATTCCTACGCACACGCAAGATCATGGTGATGCATAGCAACGAGAGGGGAGAGTGTTGTCTACGTACCCTCGTAGACCGAAGCGGAAGCGTTGACGCAACATAGAGGAAGTAGTTGTACGTCTTCCCGGTCCAACCGATCCAAGCACCGTTACTCCGGCACCTCCGAGTTCTTGGCACACGTTCATCTCGATGACGCTCCCCGGGCTCCGATCCAGCAAAGCTTCGTGAGGAGTTCTGTCAGCACGATGGCGCGGTGACGATCTTAATGTTCAACCGTCGCAGGGCTTCGCCTAAGCACCGCTACAATATGACCGAGGTGGAATATGGTGGAGGGGGGCACCGCACATGGCTAAGGAACAATCACGAAGATCAAATTGTGTGTACTAGGGTGCCCCCTGCCCCCGTATATAAAGGAGCCAAGGGGAGGGGGCGGCCGGCCAAGGAGGGCGCGCCAAGGGGGAGTCCTACTCCCACCGGGAGTAGGACTCCCTTCTTTCCTAGTTGGAGAAGGAGAAGTGGGAAAGAGGAGGAAGAGGGAAAGGAAAGGGGGGGCGCCGCCCCCCTCTCCTTGTCCTATTCGGACTAGGGAGGGGAGGGGCGCGCGACCACCTCTTGCCTCCTTTCCTCTTCTCCCTTAGGGCCCATGTAGGCCCAATAACCCCCGGGGGGTTCCGGTAACCCCCCGGTACTCCGGTAAAATCCCGATTTCACCCGGAACGATTCCGATATCCAAATATAGGCTTCCAATATATCGATCTTTATGTCTCGATCATTTCGAGACTCCTCGTCATGTCCATGATCACATCCGGGACTCTGAACAACCTTCAGTACATCAAAATACATAAACTCATAATGAAACTGACATCGTAACGTTAAGCGTGCGGACCCTACGGTTCGAGAACAATGTAGACATGACCGAGACATGTCTCCGGTCAATAACCAATAGCGGAACCTGGATGCTCATATTGGTTCCTACATATTCTACGAAGATCTTTATCGGTCAGACCGCATAACAACATACGTTGTTCCCTTTGTCATCGGTATGTTACTTGCGCGAGATTCGATCGTCGGTATCTCAATACCTGGTTCAATCTTGTTACCGGCAAGTCTCTTTACTCATTCCGTAATACATCATCTCACAACTAACTCATTAGTTGCAATGCTTGTAAGGCTTATGTGATGTGCATTACCGAGAGGTCCCAGAGATACCTCTCCGACAATCGGAGTGATAAATCCTAATCTCGAAATACGCCAACCCAACATGTACCTTTGGAGACACCTGTAGAGCACCTTTATAATCACCCAGTTACATTGTGACGTTTGGTAGCACACAAAGTGTTCCTCCGGCAAACGGGAGTTGCATAATCTCATAGTCATAGGAACATGTATAAGTCATGAAGAAAGCAATAGCAACATACTAAACGATCGGGTGCTAAGCTAATGGAATGGGTCATGTCAATCACATCATTCTCCTAATGATGTGATCCCGTTAATCAAATGACAACACATGTCTATGGTTAGGAAACATAACCATCTTCGATTAACGAGCTAGTCAAGTAGAGGCATACTAGTGACACTTTGTTTGTCTATGTATTCACACATGTATTATATTTCCGGTTAATACAATTCTAGCATGAATAATAAACATTTATCATGAAATAAGGAAATAAATAATAACTTTATTATTGCCTCTAGGGCATATTTCCTTCAGCGCCGTCCCCCCTTCCCTAGTCCAATTCGGACCAGAGGGGGTGGGGGCGCGCGACCTACCCTGGCCTGCCCTCTCTCCCTCTCTCCACTAAGGCCCATGTGGCCCATTAGTTCCCCCCGGGGGGGGGGGGTCCGGTAACCCTCCGGCACTCCGGTGTTTCTTCGAAATCACCCAGAACACTTCCGGTGTCCGAATATAGCCGTCCAATATATCAATCTTTATGTCTCGACCATTTCGAGACTCCTCGTCATGTCCGTGATCATATCCGGGACTCCGAACAACCTTCGGTTCATCAAAACATATAAACTCATAATACCGATCGTCACCAAATGTTAAGCGTGCGGACCCTACGGGTTCGAGAACTATGTAGACATGACCGAGACTCATCTCCGGTCAATAACCAATAGCGGAACCTGGATGCTCATATTGGTTCCTACATATTCTACGAAGATCTTTATCGGTCAAACCGCATAACAACATACGTTGTTCCCTTTGTCATCGGTATGTTACTTGCCCAAGATTAGATCGTCGGTATCTCAATACCTAGTTCAATCTCGTTACTGGCAAGTCTCTTTACTCGTTTCGTAATGCTACATCCCGTAACTAACTCATTATTTACATTGGTTGCAAGTCTTAAGTGATGTACATTACCGAGAGGGCCCAGAGATACCTCTTCGATACTCGAAGTGACAAATCCTAATCTCAATCTATGCCAACTCAACAAACACCATCGGAGACACCTGTAGAGCATCTTTATAGTCACCCAGTTATGTTGTGACATTTGATAGCACACTAAGTGTTCCTCTGGTATTCGGGAGTTGCATGATCTCATAGTCATAGGAACATGTATAAGTTATGGAGAAAGTAATAGCAACAAACTAAACGATCATCATGCTAAGCTCACGGATGGGTCAAGTCAATCACATCATTCTCTAATGATGTGATCCCGTTAATCAAATGACAACTCATGTCTATGGTTAGGAAACATAACCATCACTGATTCAACGAGCTAGTCAAGTAGAGGCATACTAGTGACACTCTGTTTGTCTATGTATTCACACATGTATTAAGTTTCCGGTTAATACAATTCTAGCATGAATAATAAACATTTATCATGATATAAGGAAATATAAATAACAACTTTATTATTGCCTCTAGGGCATATTTCCTTCACCATGCACACAGGGGAGCTTGCCAAGCCAGCCACAACCATCGAGGTCGTGGTGCTCACCCAAATTTGATCAAATCGGGGATGCCAAGACCACCCTTTTCTAGCAGTGAGCACACAGATTTCCAGCTCACCTTGCACTATCTATCGGAGAGCTCCACGTCGTGCACCCAGGGGAAACGCCAGTGTTACTTATCAATCTCCTTAATGAACTTCTTCGGCATGCGGAACACGGTCATTACAAAGGTTGTAAGCGCGAAGAGCACGCACCAGAACCCTTCGGCCCGCCATTGATAACAACATCCCTTTCCAACCAGCCAAGTAAGCTTTAATGCGACCCAACACGAACTGCAGCTAGGCGTAGTCGCGATGTTGTGATTGGTAATCCCAAGTAATTGGGAAACCAACGATCTTTCCATCAAAACTGGCCATCGCGTCTTGCAAATCTACGTCTTCACACTTGATCAGTGCCACTAAACTTTTTTCTATGTTGAGCAGGAGCCATGTTGCATGTCCAAACAGCTGCAATATATTCGTTAGTGCTTGCACTTCCTCTCTTGTTGGGTTTGCGAAGATCACCATGTCATCTGCATATAAAGTAGTCCTCATCCTGATATCTCTGCCAGGCAGTGTTTTGAGCTCGCCATTATCGGTTGCCCTGGCCAACAAGTGGTGAAGGGGGTTGATGGCCAATATGAACAACAGGGGCAAAATTGGGTCCCGGTCCGAGCCCTCTGCAATATCTGAATTTCTGTCTATCTACCCCGTTTAGCAAGCATGAAGATGAGGCTGTGGACGGTAGCATTGCTATCCGGTCTCTCCAACGTGTGCTGAAGCCCAGGGCCTGCGACATCTCTAAAATACATTCCCAGCATATCGAATTGAAGGCTTTGGCTATATCTAATTTGAACAGCAGGGCCAGTTTCTCATTCCTATGAAAATATCGGACGCAGCCTTGAACATAGATGAAATTATTATGGATATATTTGGTCTTCTTAAATGCACTTTGAACCGGGGAAACGACTTCGCCAATTACCGCAGCTAACCTCATGGACATCACCTTAGAAATTGGACGCTAATAACGTCTACACATGTGGTGGGAGCAACACCTGCCCACATGCCCTATAACACACTTGCGCCACGTCACCGCATGCATGCATGTGGGAATCTTTTTGGATTTCCAATTTTTACACTACTTAATCTCTTAAATGAAAAGTCCGATTGAAGATCCGTTTTCACCATTAAATTCATCGCGACGAGATCTTCGAAACTAGATCTCATATCAATATATTTCGACGACTTTTTTTGGGGTTAAAAGTTACCATGTATATTGCACATGAATTGGCATGGTGTTTATACTGAAGTTGCCATGATATGTTTCAGCTATTTTTTCTTCTATCTTTAAAAGTAAATTTTGACATATTATAAAATGGGGAATTAAGAAACTAGACTTGGCATGAGCCATAAACTAAAATTGCCATGGTGAATTACTACATGCACTTAAATTTGCCATGGTTCATAAAAAACTAATTTCCATGGTCAAAGTACTGGAATTGCCATGATCAAAATACTGAAATTGCCATGATCTATAAACTAAATTTGCCATGATGGATTACTAAAAATTGCCATGATCCATGCATTAAATTTCCCGTGGTTAATTACTAAAAATTGTCATAAAAAGTAGTTGAAAATACAACGGTAGCTCTAAATCTAGAAGAAAAAATAGATAAAACATGTCATGGCAACTTTAGTATAAACACTACGGGAACTACAGTGTAAACATCATGGCAACTTTTGGCCAAAAAAAATCATCGAAACATATCAACATGTGATCTAGTTTTGAAGATCTCATCGAGACGGATTTAATGGTGAAAACAGATTTTTAATTGAATTTTTTAATTAGGAGATAAAATATTTTTAAGCCGAAAACCAAAAAGATCCTCAATGATGTCATCTGTTTTGACGTGGCAAAATGAATGATAATGGAGGCGTTTGGACCATGTTGCTTCATGCCATACGTGTGGGCATTAACACTAACGTAGAAATTTTCTTGGCAATAGAGTGGATTAGACTTATAGGCCTAAAGTGGTTGAGCTCGGTGGCGCCACCCTTCTTGGGCAGGAGTGCAATGAGTGCTTGGTTAATCTCAGTGAAATTTTCCCTCCCCAGATGATAAATCTTTTGAAACACAACCATGCCATACGCCTTGATGATTGCCCAACACTTTCTGAAGAAAAACAATGCAGAACTTAAGTTCCAATTGTTATGCTTTATTCGAATTCGAAAGGGAGTGCCACAACGTAGTCACTTCCCCCAAAACACATAAAACCATACGTGACTCGTCTATATCAAACCAGTTTTCGCATCGGGAGCGTATCGTGGATGGGAGCTCCGTCATGTTAGCGCGGGCCCGTGGATACTAATTGGCTCAACACGGTTGGCTAACCATGTCATCCAACCATCTAAAACAACTTTCATACAAGTAAAAAATATACTCGACAGAGTAGTAATCCTACATGAGATTGTTCACGAGATGCACCCGAAAACACATGAATGGAGTAATTTTGGAGATTGGCTTTGAAAAGGCTTATGCTAAGGTCAAATGATCAATCTTTCAACAAGCCGTGAGAATGAAAGGTTTCCCCGATAAATGGCGCCGGTGGATCCGAAATTTTGTTACTACAGGCTGTCAAAGTCAATGATGATGCTTTATGCGATTGTTGATGCTTTATTCGAATTCGATAGTTAGTGCCGTAGACGTGGTCACTTTCCCCCAAAACACATAAATCATACGTGACTCGTCCATGCCAAACCAGTTTTCGCGTACGTGACTCGTCCATGCCAAACCAGTTTTCGCGTCGGGAGCGTATCCTGGGTGGGAGCTCCGTCATCTAGTGTTAGGGCGGGCCCAAGGACCTGGAGAGATTAAACTAGTGGGGACATGGGCGGATGGTGGTGGTCTGGTTGGACCCCTACGGATTAGTATAACGCAGAAAAGAGCAGACGCCGGTGGAGCCTAGCAAGTCATACGCTGAGCAGTGCCTCGCCTCGCCTCGCCGCCAGATCTCGCCTCGCCGTCCACGCATCGGATGCTCGATGCTGGTGGACAGGGCTGCAGGATACAGAGGGAGAACGACGGGGAGACCGTGATCTGTCCGTGTGACACAGTCATCACAGATGATGAAAGTGAGCTGTTGAGACAATGGAGTTGTTGCAAACGATAGGGTCTCATCTGAAAAAAAGCTGAATGGACCAAAGGTAAAAACAGTCTCTCCTGTAGAGCAGTATCTGCTTTTGATGTAGCAACAGTCGGCCAAGCCTCAACACCAACACGTCGCCGGCTATATTATTGGTGGCCACCAGCATTAGCGATTTAGCATATGCTCTGCTGCTGTCACAGTGATCGGGCCTGCTTTCCCGCCGATACCATACATGGTTCACACACGAAGGTTGGGAGCAATGCAGAAAGGGGCGTGTGGCGGGGCCCGTGCAAGCGAGCAACTTGTGGCCAGGATGAGTCCAGAGACATCGGTGCACGGGGCGCAGCCAAGTTGCGCGTTCCCGTCAGTCGACTCGGCTGGGCATCACCACGTCGCCGTCCGGCCACTGCTGATTGCGGTACGTGCAAGTTGGCCGCTGGCCCCCCGTTCCGTCGGACCTTTCAAAGCCAGCGAAGCCGAGCCGAGCGCCATGCATTCCAGACCCACAGACGACCGCGCGTGATTAATGGGGGAGGCAACCTTGTCCTTGGGCCTGAACAAGGTCGAGTACCCGAGGGTGGAGGCGGCGGATGCGGCTTTGGCCTTCACTCTGAGCACCGGCGGCGGCGGCGGCGGCAGCTGGGTGGTGGAGATGGAGAAGACGATCGGCGACATGAACGTCGACCCGGCGGTGGAGATGGCGCGCTGGAAGCGCCACTCCGTCTACCGCGTCCCGGAGCGGATCAAGAACCTGCACAACAGCAAGGCGTACCAGCCGGAGCTGGTCTCGCTGGGGCCCTTCCACCACGGCGACCCGGAGCTGCTCCCCATGGAGGAGCACAAGCGCCGCGCCGTCGTGCACCTCGTCAAGCGCTCCGGGAAGCCGCTGCGGGAGTTCGTGGCCGCCGTCGCCGAGGTGGCCACGCAGCTGCTCGACGCCTACAAGGACCTCGGCGACGAGTGGCGCGGCGCCGACAACCGGGAGCGCTTCGTGGAGCTCATGGTCACCGACGGATGCTTCCTGGTGGAGGCCATGCGGATGGACGCGCTGCGGGGGAAGGTGCACGAGGACTACGCGCCCAACGACCCCGTCTTCAGCAAGTACGGCTACCTCTACCTCTGGAACTACATCCAGTCCGACATGGTCGTCGTGGAGAACCAGCTGCCGCTGCTCCTCCTCCAGAGGCTCCTCGTTGTCATGGACCATGACAGATATCAGGTACCGTGCTACTACTACACTTTATCTCATCGATCCATAAATTTTCAACGCTCATTCGGTCTCTAACCCACCCCCTTTAATTCCCCCGGGCCCGTAGTTTATCAATCAATTACGATCGGCCAGATTCAAACCGGCAATAATCACTTCAGTAATAGATTTAGGAGTACATTGCAGATACTATCTGCCTTTTTTTGCGGGGAGATAATATCTCCATTTTAATTGGATTCAGTGGTTGGCTTCACTGAATTGGCGCCGGCTTCAGTTTAATTGGCGTACAAGGCATGGCTGAGCTAGTGTTCTTGCATGCCGACCTCGACGGCGACAGATGAAAGAGACATGATAGATTGTCGGCAAACTTCGTGTGAAAGTGACACCCGGCTGCTGTTGGAGCGTCGACGGCGGCTCCGCCACGCGCCAGCCTCCACTACACCTCCAGCGACGATGCCTATGGCATCGAGCTCGCACACTGATGGATAGAGTGAATAAGGGGAGGCAAATGACAAAGTTTCAGTAAGAACAATTGACTGAACGAAATGAAAATAACTGCCTGTCGAGTTAAATTTTCTAGCCGATTTTACAAGACGCTTTTGTGATTAGATTGTTATCATTTCTCAGCGAGTTTTCCGTACATCAAGCTTGATTCTAAACACTAACTAGTGCGTAGTACACTGACTTAGAAACCAGTTCTGTTAAATTCATATTTCAGTTTGGCGAGTTGTATGGCTGCATGCATCTCCCAGATGAAGAGACCGGGGGTTATCCTCTTTTTTTTTAAAAAGTTTGGCTAGTTGTTTTTTCAGTGCTTATAGGAATGCCAGCATGTTTGCTCTAAGAAGTTGAAAATTCATGTATTCATCGGGGAAAAAAATAATAACAGTACAGCCGGCCTCGAGGTGGGATAACTAGTATATACATTGAACCTGTGAATCTTTATTGAAAATATATCGTCAATGGAGACCGAGGCAACCATGTTAGTTCTAACTGATTGCTATAGAATGCTTCAGGAGTGAGCAGGTTGGTGCTGGACTCTCTCTGCCCATGGCGGCGGCACCTGGTGGGCATCAACCACCTCGGCCTCCACCCGCTCGACATCCTGTACACGAGCCTCACCCACGGCGACCACCAGGAGCGCACCGGGTCGACGGCGTACGTGATGCCGTCGGCGATGGAGATCTACGAGGCCGGGATCCACTTCAAGGTGAGCGACACCGACAGCCTCCTGGACGTCCACTTCGAGCACGGCGTGCTGAGCATGCCGGCGATCAGGGTGGACGACCGGACGGAGAAGAAGTTCCTGAACCTGATGGCGTTCGAGAGGCTCCACCCGGGCGCCGGCAACGACGTGACGGCGTACGTGATCTTCATGGACAACATCATCAGCTCCGCCAAGGACGTGGCGCTGCTGCGGTCCAAGAACATCATCGAGTGCGGGCTGGGCAGCGACGAGGAGGTGGCCAAGCTGCTCAACAACACGCTGAACAAGGGCGGGGTGATGAGCCCGTCCAGCAGGCTCCACGACGTGCAGCGGCGGGTCAAGGCCCATTGCCGGATGAGGTGGAACAGGTGGCGGGCCAACTTCTTTCAGAGGTACCTGAGGAACCCCTGGGTGTTCATATCCCTCGTCGCCGCCGTCGTCCTGCTCGTGGCCACCCTCTTGCAGACTGTGTATACCGTTTTGCCTTTTTACTCTAACACTTAGTACTACCACTTTTTTCTTTCTTTTTGCGGGTAACACTTAGTACCACTTGAATGTACACTGTAATTTTTCTAATATTGATTAATGCATACGCTTTGTCCTACTTGGTTCATGGAGTCTCTCTGCCTGGTTTGTTTATGAGTACTTTGTCGCATAAACTGTGGCCATATGCAGGCCACTGGCCAATTTTCTGTCTTTCGTATGAAAAGGCAGAGCTCCTATCCGCTGCTCATAAAGAAAATATATTACTCCCTTTGATCCAAATTAATTGACGCGGCTTTGTACTTTGTTTTTAAATATAAGCTTTTTTAAAGATTTCAATAAACATTATATACGGATGTATATAAATATAGTTTAGATTCATTCATTTTGCTCCGTATGTAGTCGGTATTAGAATCTCTAAAAAGGTTTATATTTAAAAACAGAGAGAGTACACGTTTAGTTCGGGAATAACTGACGTAGGTTTTATTTCTCTACGGAGGAAGTATACAAGTATACGCCACGACAACAAAGGCACTACGGGATGTGGTTTTAGTTATTTCTGATGGAGAAAGTATATGCCATGATAACAAAGGCACTATGGATCGAGTGAAATACACACACACACACACACAACCCATGACCTAAACTCATCTTCGTCCCTGCAAAAAAACTCATCTTGGTCACTTGACTTCAATATACCCTAAATATGATCATTGAAGTGGTTTAAATTGCATTCAATGATCATGGTTGAGTCTTTCTACCGCATTGTGTTCCCAAGGCATACGGTGGGCTAGTTCGACTGCTCATTGGATGACACCCGAAGAGATAGAGTGACACGTGAAAGTTTTAGGTGATACGAGGCATCCAGTGCTCCCATGATACGGGCTCTCGAGAGCCTTGGACCTGAGGCCAAGAATGTGGACTTGTGCGTAAATATTAGATTTCGGGGAACATTTTCGCAATCATGCAGGAGCTCAATATGCGACAGTTGAATCTCAGATCCATGGGCTCTCGGAAGCATGTATGATGGGAGCACGCCAAGCAGTGGCGGAGCTACGTTGGTTCCTGCAGGTGCCGTGGCCCCCCAGCCTTGGTAAAACTACATGGGGAATTTTTTAGGGAAGATTAGATTAAGAAAAATATTGTCTTCTGCCCCCTGCAAACACCCTTATTTCCTGTTTGGCACCCCCAACGCATCTTGCCTAGCTCCGCCAATGACGTCAAGCTTCGTATCACCTGATATTCTCCCAGAGTGACACATACAAAGCGCTCAACGTACATGAATTTACAGGAAAAGATATACCAATATTAGTCTACTTCAATCGAAAAATGTCGTCCCCCTTCGATAAATTGGCCGTCATCAACCTATGGACTAGATGTACCCACTCCATCCACTTGAGTTATTGATGTTTTTCTTCACTTGTTCGCCCTACTGATGATTCTCACCTCCGTGGCCTGCAAAGTGAAAATAAAAATAGTACTCCTTGTAGCGTGCATTGGTTTCACAAAAGTCAACGGTCACAAACTTTGAACAAGTTTACTGAATAAGTTATCTATATTTACAACATCAAACATATACCATATTAAAAACATACTTCATGACGAATCTAATGGTATTTTTTTGAAACCTGTGACAGTGGGAGAGGCTCCCACTGTGATATATTACTTTTCAAAATTTACATAATACATTGTACAAGAGGTATACATAGGGCACCCCTTACCACTTTGTGGTTTTGGGGGGAGAAAAGACTAGAAAGCAAGACTAGTCAGAAGGTAGGGAGTCTAGGAGTAGGAAGATGAAATCCTTCATGTTATCTTTCACTCTATACTGAAGTAAGCCAAAATTTGTTTTGAATCTAGCTAGCCAGGAATTGTAGGAGGGGCTGATATTTCTGAAAAGCTTGTCATTCCTCTCCTTCCATATGCTCCAAGATGCTTGTAGAAAGGCCTCCATGAACATGGGTTTGTGCCAATTGCGTTTGGCTGTTTCCAACCAAGTCAGCTGTGTGGGATGATGTTCAGGGTTCATCCCAAGTTTTGACCAACAGTACCTGCTGAATCTAATGGTATTGATTCGGTATTATAGACATTAATGATTTTCTCTATAAATATGGTCAAATTTTACAAGGTTTGACATAAAAATATATTCTTGTAACTTTTTATAAGACGTTTTTAGAGCACATGACAATGTTCAAAAACATTTTATATTAAGTTATAGAGGGAGTTAACCCACCCTATTTTAGACGAAAAAGGGTTCCCCAACCATCATCGCATTACATCCGAGAGACCGATACAAACTCACGTCACCTCCGCACGCTACACACACACCCAAGGCAAGGTACATAGGTGTCGGGCACTGACACACCACCCCACCGACCACCAAGCTAACTAAAGATATGCGAAGAAGACCGCTTCAAGCCATCAGAGACCTTCATCATGACAATCCACAAATGGAGAGATGAAATGGACAACGACAAAGCCAGGACTCCAGAGCGGTGCCTCCCAGAAGGGTACGGCCACAGATATCCGTCACCGTCCAATCACGCAGGTCAAGTTTTCACCCAGTGTAAGACAAAATGAGTGGGAACACCGCGACGGAGCCTTTAGAAAGGATATGACATCCACGGATGCCGCCACCGTCGGCCAATACACGAATTGGGCAAGTGATGTACCCTAGCGCGCACACTCCTCCATCGGACCCTAGCTCCGACAACCACCCGCAACCAAGCCACCCGCGCGGCCATGGCTGTCCGCCCGCACCTAAGACGCATGCAGGCATGCTCCGCCCACAGACGGCACGCCTCCCGTCGCTATGGCGGCCGACCAACATCCAGACACCCTCAAGACCATCCCAAAGAGGTCGACTTTGGTCAAATGGGGACACACACTCAACCGACGAAACCGCGGCATTCGTCCCACCTCGAAACATCACCGGAGCGGCAATCGCCCGCACACGATCGGGGAAAGGGAGAGGTGAGGGAACAGACGCATCCACGACCGGCACACCCGCGTGCCAATGACGGGTGGCCCGAGCACGTCAGTGCCGCCCATCCCTCCAGCCAACCTCTCCACCGGAAGCCCCCTATGTCGTCCCACATGGTGGCCGGTTCTGAACCACGCGAGGCCATCAACAAAGACTCGTCCAACGGCAAGAGGAACCCCAAGGATCGCCACCCATCGCAAAGAGAGCTCACCGAGGAGCCCATCCGCGGCGGCGCCGCCGTCCAACCACC